CCGCTATAAGAAACGTGGTCGTGATAGACTCGGCCGCTCTGGCCCCGCTCCCAATACGAATATTTGAGTGGCGTTTTAGCGTGCGGACGATAATTCGTCCCGTGGTAAACTTCGATGTTTGCAGTTCTCAGTTGATACGCGACTCGAGAGGCTTGCGACCACACCGCGTGGCAAATTCCATTTCTAAGGCTGTTTGCACGAATGGGTCGGTGACAGGTCCGTCTGAGTAAGTACTACGACCTCACAGAAGTGAAGTGGAAGTGTTGTACTTTCAACGTTTCGCCTGGTGAGTGAGGTATCCGAGGCCTGCTTTATTAAAAGTTAACATATCTGCAACCTTAAGGGTGTTGAAATGTCCAGGGGCAGCAGTCATCAGTTAACGTCAGGGGAACCACCAGCTCACTTGCCCTCTTTTTATAGAAAAAAAAAACAATCACACTCTAAATCGTTGCAAATCCCATATCTAGTTTCATCCATACCGAATCTCGAATAATCCCGATAATTTGCGATGATATCTTTATTATTTAAAGGCACAAGATACTTATGATCGCGGTGAACGCAAAAACTTCGCTTGGTCGGTAGAACAGCGTTGGAATCCTGTTTCTCTTGAAAGTTGCTAGACTTTATCGTTTATCTTTTCAATTAAATTAGATACATAGCTAATCTTACTTAAAATATTTTAAAGACCTACGAATTCAGCACCATTTACTATCGGTGGGATTATCATACCACAACTTGATCGAGCGATAGGCAGTTCGTGATAATCAAAAAAATCATCACTGGTCAAGTGATTGTAATAAGAAATACTTTTTATTACTTATGTAATGAGCAAATTTTACTATTTTCAAACACATACAGTTAAAGACTTAAATAACGAAGCCTTCTTTGCACCGGCATTGCATCAAGACGTAGACGAAAAACGACAGCAAGCGAAGATATACAATTAAAAAGGTTAAGATAACTGAAATGATTGTGAAGATCAATGTAACTTTATTCATTGCAAATAAATGTTTGAACTTGATACGAGTCAGCGAGTAGGGAAAACAACGGGTTGCGAGTATAATTACATAGCATCGGGTAGCGCCGTTTACAAAGGGCGAGTGGCTGCTTTGAGCTCATATGGAGTACAGTCGCGTCGCACGAGCCTGAAGATGGAGCACTGCACATCAAAGCGGTGCCTCTGTATGGACTAATTCAGACGTTCCCGGAACAAACAACGGCAAACAGGAGTCCTCTGCGCTCCGACGGAAGCAATCGACGCAAATTCAACTAATTAGGGCGCATGTTTGCACACGAGTGTACTTCTAATTAGTTCGACACAATGCCGGCATACGAGTAAAACGTCACTTACGTAACGTCCGTAGTTAAATCAAGTGTTCGGGTAAAAAACATTATAAAAACTGGATAGAATTTCTTTATGCGAGAAGGTGCAAAAAAGACGATTGGTTTACCCGACGTTAAACGATTACCGTTGCCCACGAACAATAACGGTACTACGGAGAGGGAGAACCCCGGTCACCTCACTGTGTGTGAAATCCTATCTATGCCGTTTTGTGCTTTACGCCGAAGGTTCCGCACACGCAAAAGCTGCTGCGTATATCCATTACAATGGAAAAAAAAACCAACAATTCGCTAAGCAATAAAAAAGTGTGCACGCGTCAATCATCAATGTCAAATGACCAAACTCAAATCCGATATGAACGCGAAACGAGTTTCGTGTTGCGTCGCGTTGCGTTGCGTTGTTTTTTCATCACATCCAAACTTGGGTCGTTGGCACCGCCTAATGAGCTCTCCAATTACCACGCGCTCGTCGTACGGAATCTAATAAACGCTAGTTTGAAAGGTAAGAAACGAACGTTTCTGGACGAACAGTCACACCTTTTCTGAACGAAAAATACACATCTATTAAGTCGACATCGATAGCGGGTTGGGTTCTTGCGACATTGTCGGTAGAGGGCTGATGTTTAAAAGTGTCGGAAATATAATATACAGTAAGTTTTTAGCCCATACATTATGACCCATAGCTGGACAAAGCTCTTTAGAATTAAATGTTATACTTTCACATACTAATGCCAAAGTATAGCATGAAATAAACATTACTTAAAATTCATACATACTCCACACGTGTTTAGGCCATGCCCTAATAGGCTATATTCCACGACGCAACACCGTGTGGGTTCTCAGAATTAACATATGATCGAAATAATATTGCATGTACTAAGTAAGAAGAAATTGCAAGTGACAGTGTCATTGGTAATGGGATTTGAGCTTTAGAGCATGGACACTGAGCTATCGCGGTGCTCTTGCTCGCTAGACTTTACAGTAATGGCATCAATCCGATCGTTAGTCATTTCTTACGTTAACGTACGAAAGTTAAGACATGAAATCATTGCGTGTGACGTTTCGCAGCGACATTGTTTCTTGGACGAAATAGGCAGCCACAGCAAACTTATTGACGCACGCCTTTGATGAACGGCATTCGCTAAAGGATAAGGAATATATAGTTTCATAATTCATTAAGCGGGTGCAAAATGTTATATTAACGGTGAATTCCAATTTGATCTAAAGCAGTGTCAAGCGGTTTATTTTGAACTTTTAATATTTAAAACAAACTCAAATGAATACGTTAAACTCTTTGATTTCGTGGCATTTGTTGGGAAAAGTAGTTAAATATACGTCCTTACAACAACAATAAAGAGGTCAGCACGAGAGAAGAAAAAAGAAATTGAACGAGGTTCAGCGACTACGCTTTGAAGACGAGCACAAGTCAAATGGTGATGATTAAAAGCAAATTGACTCAGACCCGTCTCCCCGTAACAGCCGCCACCAGGTTCGAGGTCAAGCGATTCAGAGACGACAAAGCGCCGTTTACTGGTCACCGTGAAAGTTGGACATCCAAAAGGTGAGCCGGTGACGCGATATCCTATAACGACCGCCGGTGAAAGTGTGACGGCAACGACTAACAGAGGGACAAGACGACCTGAGGCCGACTATATGGTTCTTAAACTAGAAAGTCGTTATGCTTTCGTGCTTCATCCAGTTTCAACAATCTGCAAGGGGGAAGGTGATCACTTGTAGCCTGGCTCACAAATATCTGAATTCGCAGTGATAACTCAAAAAATAAATCGGAAACTTACACAATAAACGGAGTAAAGATTCAAGAAGCAAAACACATTCTCTACAATGTAGTTTACATCTCTACAGACAGTATAGAATCCGTAATAGATTAAATAGAAGTTCCGTAATAGTTCAACCTTAATATCAACCATGTTACCCATTCGACTTCGCCGGAATGCTCATATACTCTCCCTTCTTTACAACGTTCTGTTTAATCCTTCGTATCCCTTTTATTTAAAGAAACGTTTCGAGTTTTTACACGAATCTCATCCACATCTTCTGAGATCATCAGAGAATTTGAAATTAAAAATACCTGCTCACAAAACAAAATTTATGGCTAAGTCCTTTATGGTTCAAGGTGCGAAATTATGGAATGCCCTACCTCTGGAGGTGAGACGTGCTCAGTCACTTTCCACTTTTAAAAAACCTTGTCAAGAGTCACTATTTGTCACTTTAAATCTGGTTTAGATACAGAATGTATTAACTATGTTTATGGATATATGTATATATGTTATATAAATATATATATATATATATATATATTATATATATATATTTATTTTGTTATTTATGTACTCATTTATCTATTTATTTATTTATTTTTTACAACAAAGAATGTATTTATCTTATAAAATTTATAGAATTTTACCCACACCCCTAAACTATTCTTTTCATATTATGTCCATCCAAAGGTTGCCTGGAAGAAATTGCTTTAAGTAATAAGGCCGCCCATTGTACAACCCTTGCATAATTGTTATTTTTAATGTATTCTTTTTACCATGGTGTGTGCAATAAAGAATATTCATTCATTCATTCATTCATCAATAATTGTATATAACAAAACCGTTTGGTGATTACATAATGTCTAAAGCCAGATAGAATAAGAACACAATGGATGAAACAAAATCATCACCGATGAAATCACGAAAGCAATGACTTAATTTCAAACTTTCTACGTCATTCCTCGTCTTAAAAACCCAAGCGATAATTAACTTCTATATACCTAATTAGTTTCTTTAGCTTCTTCGGAAAGTATGCATGAATGAGAATTGAAATATACATTGACAAGTGAAACAACGCAATACAAAATGACTTTAATATAACAAAGTTTTGTTTTCGTTCTGCTTAAAATCGTAACTACTAATATATTCATATTGTAAGTGAATAAAACTTTCTTATGCTAGTCTTGGTTATTGTTTTATCTTATATTAAAACCAAAAAACAATAACAATAATAAAGTAAAACAATTGCTTTAAATACAGACGCATTGACATTTAACACAGACGTGAACAAAAAAATATGTATTTCACGTCAAACGTTACAATAATGAACTACCAGTTATGTTAATTAAAGTTTCACGTAGAATGTCAAGAAAAACGAATTCTAAAAACCGCCACTTGTTGGACATTTAAACACGAACTAAATCAATAAATACACTGTTAAATTGTATACAACCTTTAAATTTTTTTTTTATTTCTTTCCTCAATAGACCTTGTCTCTATGCACGGTTAAAAAGTCAAATGTAAGAATAAATTTCGGCCTTGGCAACCGTTTATAGCTCAAAAAAGGAAAAAAATACACACATCGCGACATTTTACGTAATAAACGATTATCGCTTCGCAATAAGGATATCGGGCGATATTTTCTTTTTTTAAATCGAGGCTTGCAAGCCTGATTAAGCAACATTTGGGCTGGCCGGTATGTAGCTGTCACGTAATTATGTCCAAATTAAAAAAAAAGTCGTCATGTTTTGCACTGCTAAGAACAGAGTGGGTGTTGACCGAGTCGCCGCAGTTGAAACAAGTACCAGGCGCAAATAAACAGCAAGGGGAGGCAGCAACTTTGACAATAAGCGCCCACAATATGGCAACGGCGCGTTGTTACGTAACGTGTTGTACGTACGTCGCGGGGACGAGAACAGGGGGGCGGGGGGCCGTTAGGTGAGTGACCCGCAGCTCGGCCGCTGCCAATTCGCTCATCGCATTGCATCGCATCTCATTGCGAGCCCTCGCTTGAACACAGAGTGTATGCGCGAAATTAACGCGCGGAACGGTGTCAAGGGTCATACTCTCCTGGTACCTGGGTGCCATCACGAGGTAAAAACAAAAAATCGGGGATAGGACGCGGATGGCCCAAGATCAACTTTTCACACATTCGAAATCCTAAACATTGTGAGACTAAGCATTATTGATATACAAAGAAATATATTCAATTAATTTCAACATATCATGAGCGTACGTTGAGAGGATAGCTTTTGTGTTAGAACAAAGTGCGGGAGCTTATATATAAAATTTATCAGTTCGACTTAAAATTGGACATTTATGGTTGGTATTTCGACACGTTCGCAAATCACGAAGCGCGCACTTGATTTCGCCCTGTTCGCATTAACGAGTGAGGTCGTTAGGTAACTTGCCAAGTTTGAATCTATATTCGATTCGAACGTATTTAGAAATCCCGACAGCCGCACCGTATAGTGACGAAGAACGGTTAATGGGAGATACATGTTCGACCTATTATGTCCTACGCATGCATGATCTTCGCCCACACGCACCCTACTCGCTTGTACAAGTTGCAAATAGTACAAAATAAGTTTATCCGCCGCGCAACCGGTGCGCAGTGGTATCAGCGCAACGTCGACCTGCACAGCGATTGCAGACTCCCGACGATTCGCGCACATTTTAAAGATTTGACAAAACGGTTCTTCGATAGAGTCCAGCATCATCCCAACCCTCTGGTGGTAAGCGCAGCAAACTACCAACCGGACACAAACGCGAACGTAAACAAGCGTCGCCCGCGAAACGTCCTCATCGACCCGGTCGACGAAGAGGACTTAGATACGATGGACCCACCGCCGGGGGTCCCGCCGGATAACACTACACCCACAGTTAGTGTAACAACAATCACACCAGTTCGCCCTCGCCTCCGAGCACGGCGAGACCCACACAACGCGTACACAAGGTACACCCGCGTTCCGGGGCGGTTCTCACCGCTCCCAGCCACCGATTAGCTAAATGCACAGTCGACGGCCGTCGGGGTCTCGGTCCGAACCGGCGACCTCGACGGCCCTTAGATGACACACTATAGTAGTTAAAAGTAGGCACGCATGAGCACATGCGCGACCCTACCCATAGCAGAGGGTCCAAACCCGTGGGTTCTGGCTAGCCCACCGGTTCTGCGTCCGATGAAGCTTTAATAGTCTCGGGACTGAAAGCAAAAACATCAGTTAATACAAGATACAAGACAAGAGATACATATACCTAAATGAAATGTAACATGGCCACTAAAAGTTACACTCCCATCTCGTCCGGTAAAAAAATGCGACGTCAAAGAATATCATAGTGAATTTGGAATATACGCCATTTCCCCTGGTGATTGAGTTAGTCGGAGCCCACTATTTTAAAGGTAGGCAACATAATTATCGGCAACCTTATGCGTACTGCATAAACTTTATAAATATTTTGTAGCTGTACTTCAGTGGATACAATGTTATTGATAAAGTTTAACGATTTGTGATAATTATAATAATAACAGTGTTATTTTGTTACATTAACCATGCGGCCAATAAATCACTTTTATGTTAGCCAATATGACTAATTAAAACAAAGTCGTAGCGTTGAACGGTGTCTATAAAACGAGAGGTTGATGATAATTTTATTATTAATACGTCGTAAAATACACATTAACTAGTAAAAACTAGCGTTATTATATAAGACAGAGCTATCAATGCTTGAAAATTATGCTTATACGATTATGGCAGTATTTTTTAAAAACTTTAATATTAAAACAAAAGTATTTAAAAAATCAAGGAAGCATTTTAAAAAATATACTGAGGTCGATCTACCTACATACCTATCCAATAGGCATGATGACAGTAACTAAGATTCACCAAAATAATGTGTTAATCTAATTTGTGATATCTCATAATTTCGTAAAAAAGTATTTATCTTCATTTTTTATTTAAGATTGATTATTTATTTAATAAAATAAAACTATAAAATTAAGCAATCCGCCATGTCAAGTTGAACACCAATCAGAGCGAATTACGTCACGACTATGTAAGCTTCTAGACGCCATAATATTTTGTTAGCAATTTGCGCCTGTTTCTGTTTGTTTGTCTGAGTTTATCAAGTAATTCGTGGTTTTCAACAATCTCTCACTTAATCTTATATTTTCAAAGTCCAAATTAAGAAAAGTCAGCTATGGAACAAGGATTTACCAAGGCAAATAGCTCTAATTTGCCTAGAATTGATTTGTTGATGCTGGGAGAGTTTCTTGGAGCTAACAAAGATTTTTGTTCAGCAGAATTTAGAAGTGTAAAAACTTCTAAGTAAGTATATTAACATTCATTAAAAAGTATAATGGTTCAATAGTGCAAATGCCGTAATTTTTTTTTTACTTTCATAATAGATTAAATTTGAGGTTACTTTACGTCGTGTTGTTTTAAAACTATTAAATACTTACAAATTTATTTCTATATTTTAGGTCCTCTAGGCCATCCTATGGAGATGACGCTGTAAGCTATGTACAGCTGAAACGAGATGGAAAGCTGTGTATTGTGAAAGGCAAAATCTGTCCTGAACATAAAGTCCATGCAAAGTTGTATGGAGTGACTGTTGTAGTTGACGAAGAATATGAAAAAATCAAGTCCATAGAATGCCACGACTGTATTGCTTCACAAGGAGGGTGTAAGCATGCTATTGCATTTCTCATGTGGGCCCATCGTAGGAGTGAAGAGCCATCATGTACATCCGTGGAATGCTACTGGATGAAGTCCAAACTATCGAGAGTTGGGACTACCATTAAATATATAACAGCAAAAGAGTTATCAAAAGGTACGCCCAGCTTGCCTTCAAATTCTGGAGTTTTCGAAATGTTTTTGGAAGAAGGGAAGAAAAGAAAGCTAAACAACTGTGAGATACTAAAGTATCAAAAAGATTATGTTTGTAGTAGAACAGAAAACTTATCAATGCATAAGTTAGTATTAAAATATAAAGAAATATCATGTGATAATTTTTTTTGAGAAAGGTTGAAATATCAGACATAGATATCAAGGAAGTTGAGGAAATGACAAGAGACCAACATCAAAGCAGCCTATGGCATGAATTAAGATATGGCAGAGTGACAGCCTCAAGGGCATTTGATTTTAGTCGGTGTACATCTAAGGATGGTACTTTAATTTCATTAATTATGGGAGGAAAAATTCCTGACACACTGGCAATGAAACGTGGCAGAGATTTAGAGAACGAAGTTAGGAAGACGGTGAGTAATAAACTGGGAAAAAAAATAAAAATGTGTGGTTTGTTGCTGTCAAAAACCTATCCTATGATAGCAGGTTCTCCTGATGGGATCTGTGAAGATGCCATTATTGAAATAAAATGTCCTATGAGTGAAAAAGCAATGGTTAATTATGTGAAAAATGGGAAGCCAACTCAGAAGTTTAACATGCAGATGCAGCTGCAAATGTATTTAACTGGACTTAAAAGAGGCTACTTTTGTGTAGCTGATTCTAAATACAATGCAAATAAAGAAGTGAAATTAATAAGTGTGAAATATGATGATAATTACGTATCAGATGTTTTGAAAGTACTAATTTCTTCTTGGAAAGATAATGTATATCCATTATTATATAACAGTATCATTTGAGTGAGTAAATAAAATGCAGGTGTTATATGTTCATTGTTTTATTTAATAAGTGAATCTTGCAAATTGATGAATCCACAAGCAATAGTAATAACATCATCAAGTACTTTAACTAAGTTATGATTTAGACATGCATGTGGCTTTAACATATGAAATTCACGTAAGCGTCGAATCAGTCTTTCAACATGAATTCTTAAACTGGCAATTTGTTTAGTTTGTTTGGTCTCACTTTTCGAAAGTTTAGTTCCAGTTATGACACTTGGAGGTCTTACAAGCTGCACTCCATATTTACGCAAATATGGTTCTACATGCTTAAAACCTCTATCAGCCATTACGCACATGCCTGGTTGCAAACATTTTATAAAATCACATGTTTCAACCAAACATGTATCTGTTATCCTTCCTCCATACCCTGGTGAAACATAATTGACTAAACCATTCGGAGTACAGGAAACAAGATATTTAATAGTATTAGCCTTTTTGTATTCCGACCATGAGAGAGACTGATTCAAAGCTTTTGAAGGCTTCTGCACCTCAATTTCTAAGCAGTCAATAATGCAACTTACACTGTAATAATTATTTCTAAAAGGCATAGGTAAATTAGTTTTAATACAATCATTATCAAGATTTACTATAAAAGGCCGCATTATACTAGCTAAAATAGGTATATTTTTTACAAATAATTTACTACAGTATGTTGTGGTCAAGGTGAAATCATCACTCAGTTCTTTAAATGGATTATTTAATCTAATTTTATTTAAACACATTAATATATGGATCTCTGGTATTTTAGAATATTTTTCAATTAAATGTATAAGGTAATAGCAACCTTTAGGTAAACCTATATAATATCGAGGACTCTTCTTAATTTTATTCAATGTAAATTCCAATATTTTCATTGCCTCTTGTTTTTTATCATCCTCAGTTAGTTCACTACAATCTGAAGACTTCATTTGAAATGGTGATGTTTCTCTCAATGTTATTGATGGTGTGTAAGAAATATCACTATCAGATTGGTCTTCTGTGGTGAATATTTTTCTTGATGGTTTATATAAGCTGGATGTCCATGGCTTAGTAGAAATGCAAGTTTTGACTTTAAATGGTGATGTGGATACTGATTGTACACTAGGTTTCATGGGTGATGTCATCTGGTTTACTAGTTTAGTGTCTGTTTGGATTGCTTTGCTTCTAAACTTCTTCATCATATTCACTTGGATTGATTTATTTGCAGATTTAGTTACTTCTTCTTCACTAATATTCTCTATGTTTACATGGAAAACTGAAAATAAAGAACATAGACATAAGACATTGAAATCAATTAGACATTAAACAAAACATATTATTTACATAATAAATCATCAATCAGGCAATAGAGTAGACATGCCATTTAATCTCCAACATTATAAAAAGGAAAGGTTACTGAGAAAAATTTAATTCATTTAGAAAAAAGAAATAAACAAAAAAGGTACCTGAATGTCCATATGAAGTCTCCCCGAGTTCCATATCTTTTCTGGTATTACTGCTCTCTTCAAAATCTTTTTCACATTCTTCAACTAACATTTTCCTTTGTTTCTTAAGAATATATGGCCGATCTATAGTAGAAGATGTGCACTTCCTTGTCTGGTTGGCATTCAAATTTTGTGGGGACACATCCTGGTTTCATACGGACCTGCGACACTGATCCCATGATCTTATACTCCATAAAATTTGCCATATCATTTGGTAACTGCAATATAGTAAAATACCTGTAAATAACAAATACATGGAACCTGTTAACCTAACCTCAAAAGTTATTTATTAAATTAATTTTAAACTTTAAACTATACCAAAATGCACTCAAATATATTAGAATATAAGAAATTCATTATTGACTTACGTCAAAGTGATCTTCACAGAAATACATTGGAGAATTAAGGCATATAGCGGTTGGATCTCGTCGTGCAAGATTAAGCCACTTATATCGTATTATTTTCTTGTGTGGAACGTAAACAAATACTTTTTTAGGAGTTTTTATTGAAGTGTTATTACACTGGGGTACCGCACACCACTTATACACTTTAGAATTCATCTTTAACGCCAAAAATAAGGAAATATTGCTTAAGCACCAAATATTTACTGCTGACAAACATAGATGTGACGTCACAATTGGCTGCCATGACACAACAGCGCGTTTTGGCAGAATTTTTAAACTGGGATATTAAAATGGTATTTTTTATACTTAAACGTTATTTTCTGTTAAAATAAGATAGTTTTTGTAACATTGTAGATGCGTCCCAACATCATAGAACACTTTTTGAAAATTAGTCATCATGCCTATTATCCGCGCGAAAGTAATTTTGCGGCGTCGCTTGGAAGAACCAAAGTAGACCTAATCAGAAGAATAACAAAACCGTATACATGTTATATATTTTCTTCAATTATAAAATAAAAAATAATTTTATAATTCACACAAAGCTGCATATTGTTGACATAAATGAAAGATTCAATGAGACTATTGCACATAGTATAATTTAGCTCATCTCTCTGATTGGGAAAATAAGCCGTGGACTCAGGCTGAAATGATGATGAATGGTGATTTATTTATTTAAGATATGGAAGGCTTACAGCTATTCAAACCTAATTAACACTAAACTAGACGACAAACAGCCAATAACAAGCCTTCTCTTATAGAAATATTATAGTCGAAGAGCAGACAAGTACTGTAGCTGGCTAATTTGGTAAATTAAAAAATTACAAATAAACATTACTACTTAAATTTATAACAATACCTAACCTATATATATCATGCTTAAAAAATTAAGGCTTAAGCACCTTCTTGCCGATGACACAATCGTTGTGAATAGATCAAGATCATGCTGTTTACATATTTTATTGAAGCCTGCAATTGCGCGTACAATACAACTGATGATGATTAAGTTCACGCTTTGTATTCCTTATTTCAAGATAATTTGCAACACAGGACCAATAATAAAAACTACTAAACTCTCCTCTTTTGACACACATCACTGCACCGAGCAACTGCGAAACATCACGTTCGAAAAAAACGAAGACCGTTTCGCAGTTTTCGATTCGATCGAACAGATCTGCACGGCATCACGGCGCACGGGTTTTTAGGTGGCCACGTTTCCGCTCGCCAAATCGCCAAGGAGGCCAAAACGCCAAGGAGGCCAAAACGCCAAGGAGGTGGGGGGGAAAAAAGGCCGAGTGAGCCGACCCGAGATCGGTGCAATTGTCGCAGCTGGTCGTGCCGAACATCCGGCATTCGCTCTTGGCGTTTTTGCGGCGAGACTCGTGAGCTTGGTTCGTTTTTCGTTTTTCGACAGGCGGCGGACGCACTCTTCCGTAGCAGGCCGAAGAGTCGAGTGTTGGAACGGTCGAATTTGATCTTGGCATCTTTATGAAGATTTCGCCGCAAGCTCAACTACGCCCAAGGGTCGAATTGAATAGTTATTGATGAAATATTAACAAGTTAAGAATGTGTACATGAAACTGTCGCCTTGATTCAGACGTGCGACTTCGGAATCATTCGGAAGTTCTAGCTTAATGGCTATCGCGTCAAATTTTACGACAGTTATATCTACACATTTTCAGGTAAAATATTAAGTGCAGAGACTAGCACTAAAAGTTAAATCATATTAAGTCTCCTTTCTCCTACCCCCGGAATTACATTTGCTTGTATTAAGTTGAGCGGAAAGTCGATGGATGCAGGTGGCTCAGAATCGTACTTCGTGGCAATCTACGGGGGAAAAATAAGGAAATCAGCGACTTAATGTTGACAAAAACCGTTATTTTGTTGGAGTCGCAGACACTTATTATATTTTCATGTTTGTTCTTTCTGGTCTCATACTTATTCTTCCCACTCACGACTTTCTAAAAGGAAAACTAATTTGGCTAAGTTCTTAACTATGTCTTATTTCGGAATTAAATAAATTGGGCTTAGATAATATTATTTCAATCACACACAATCCACTTAGCAACTGATATATAATTTGTAATTCGTTGCATTAAAAAAAGTTTGTTGATTTTAAATGATGTTATTGCGTTGCAAAGGGTATTGATTTAAATCAAGGATGTTTATGTTTATGAAATATCTCTGCTATGGCTGTTTACAATAGCAAAAACGACTCTCAAGTTTTCAAATATTAATTGTAAAATATAATTTGGGTAAGAGTTCGTAGTTGAAAAAGCAAGCACTGCAAAAAATTGCAATAAATACTAAGTAGAGAAATAGTAGAGACTTTCGCATGGTCAATGCTTCGTAGTTAGAGCGTCTTGCAGCGGCGAAAATTATTCGACAATTTAATCTACAAGTTTTACTTTCACTTTAATCGCGATTTAAATCACTGATTAAAACTCAACTCGGATACCTAACATTTCGAACGTAATACGTTTCGATTGAACCAAACGTCAAAGCGCTAACCACGCGACACTCGGAGTCACGGGCGTAGGGATATTGAACGACAAATCGGATTAAATACAACGCACGACTTATACGAATACCCACCCGTTTCTGAGACCACTTATAGGCATACCGTAAAGCCGTCTCGAACCAACCGCTGTAGCAATACACAATACATACATACAACCATCGAAACGTGAGCTAAGGGGAACTTTCTCAACCGTCATTGCCTTAAGCGTCTGAAACGTTTTGAATAATAAAAAAAATTATGTGTTTACTTATCTATCACTTACTACTTCTTCGGCGTAACAAGATAAAAATATTTTCAAAAATTTTATCTTTCGCCTTATTCTACGTTTGTAGAAAAAACGACACTAACAATAGAAAAAAGGTATTTAAGACATTGTAAGTTTTATTATATATTATCTAGTTAAAAGTTTATTACAATATCACAAAATAAACATCGTGAATACAGTTGTCAGTTCTCACGCAAACAAACGTAGATGTTTAGCTAACTCCAGGGTGTCGGTCTGTCGTGACGGTGTGCGTGCGCATTGTAAAAATTTACTGTCATCATTTTTCCCTAACGCACCAAAAGAAGTATAACTTCAAAAATATTTTCGATGAGTCCTAAATTACAACCTTTTAAAACCTTTTAAAACCCTTTTAAAATTAGTTCTTGAATGTATACATATTACACGTTGTGGAACGAAAAAATTTTTGTATTTCATCTGGTTTATTTTTTATTTTTAACTATTCTAATAACGTCCATAACCACCACTATACAGACATAGTTGTTTTACGTCCGAATTTCATTCTTAATCCGTGCTAGGGTCAACTTTTGCTTATATAAATAAGCAAAAGTCATAATAATATGATCCGAGCTAATCAGAATATCTCTATTAACTTAGAGCATGCATGATAAAGTTATATAACATAATTAAATTACTAAAATTATCATTACGAAACTCTTGAATTTTAGATACGAACTAACCTAATTGACTAATTGCCTGTTGAATTTTATTGGAGACAAACAGTTCGCACAAACATGAAGTCTATATTTTGTGTAACAACAAATGAATAGCACGTTACAGAGGAACAAATTAGGAATAAAAGTTGTTTTACTTGAAACAGCAAAGGGAACTCCTCAATTGCTAAACATTACGCACCCTTAGAATTAAAGGGAACTAATTAAGAAAATCATGATTTTACTTTATGTCAGGAAACGACCAAAACCTTTTTCTACTCTTCAATCAAACAAGGGCCGATTTCAGAAAACTTTTCGTCGAGAGTACAGACGTTTATCAAAGGTTTACCACAGGAATGGGGATGGTGAAATCGCCCTAGGAACGTGTCACGTTGCAAATGTGGCACACGCAGAACAATTAAGAACCGCGCGCACTCGGCCAAACATAGTATCGTGGGTAGCATCGGACAATTCATGATCACAAAACAAAAACTTGAAATGTTTCATTTGTTACATTTCGAATTAAGGTTTGAGTTAAGGTTCTTAAAATTACATTGTTATGTAAAACGTAATTTAAAATATTTTAACGATGAATTAATAATATCGATTATTACAGTTTTGTCACACACGACATAAATGAACGAAAACGACACGAAAAACATAAATGTGGATAAAGTGAAAGCAATATCCAATATACAATCAGCATTATATATTTATTATGCACCTAATTAAAAAAGACAAACGCGAACAATATAGAATACTTACACTATCGTATTAGTGTAACCTATAAAGATAGTTTTGAGTGCCAAAAGTGTGAAAAGAATAAATAAAACTTATAAAAGCTGGCGTCTGTGGCAGAAAACATACTGCTTTCTTACTTATACCTAAGCTGTATTTTGTCATTGTTGGATGATGTTTTCCGTTTCCGTCTAAGGGACAATAATCAAATGGATTCTGCGATATCACCCCACTAACGTTACGAGACAAATTAGAGAGCTTGCTTAGCACCTGTCCAGCCGTTACGTGATTAAATGGCGTAAGTGGGCATTGTGCAAATGCCAGAGTGGGGCGCGAGCGAAAAAAGCAACATCCTCTATACGAAACATCGCACGAACGGGTCTAGTCTCAATTTAGACTTGGTAACCCTATCCTTAACGCGCGTGCACGTCTCGCTCGCGGTAAACAAGCGATGTTGCGTCACGGCGCGTCGACGCGCGTTCGACTTTGCACCGAAATGCTGCCGCCAATTGGGCTGATTTTCCCGCAGTGCGTTTCCTATCGACGCTCACGAAACCCCACGGCAACAACAACACTTGACTAACAGTTAATATTCGACGGCCGCATGGAGAGATCTCGAAAATAGATCGGGGATTTTTTCTTCTCCCCCCCGCGTTTCTTTGGCAAGTTCCTACGCCGATGGCGTACGGTCGGATGATTTGCGTTCAAATATTTCGACCGCTACGACCGATCGAGTGAGTTGGAATTCATTACGCTTGCGTCATGATATGGTGGCGACCAAAGCGATAACATTCGTGTGGCGCGTGCAAGAAGCGCACTGGCAAGGGTGATTGAAAAATATTACGTGCACTAGCAGGAGTATTTCTTCAAATTTTGGTTAGGAGAGAAAAAATTATAAGACAATACATGCTTCGACATTGAAGCGACCTTTGCAAGAGGTTAAAATGAATGACACACCCACAATCGTTTTAATCCGGCCCTACCTGTTAGTTTATAATTTGAACTTTAAATGGGTGTGAGAAACAAACGACAGCTTTTGCTGTGGCATGAATGGGCAAGCTTGTCCGCGGAAATACCACATCTCATAAAATACCTCATAAAAAAGTAGTATGTATTTTTTTTATGTAAAAAGTTGCCAACCGAGCAGACGGTTCACCTGATGGTAAGTGTATAATACCGCCGCCCATGGACATCTGCTACACCCGACGGTTACAGATGCGTTGAGAACCTTTTGAAAATTGTGCTCCGGCTACCTCACTCACCAGACGAAACGCGAAAGTATTTTTCATACTTCCACTTTACGCAGGTCTTCTGTGAGGTCGTGGTACTTACCCGGACGGGCCTGCTCATTTGTGCAACAGCAGAGGCTGCTGCGTGGCCCTACCACCGAAAAATGATTGCGGGTTGTCTACAAAAACACAAATTCAGAGGATTTAAAAAATATATATAACATTTTTACAACTGACTTAAAAGTATAAATTAGTAGGGCCGAACAATAAATATCCTAACGAGCAGTCATTTAATGATCGAATCAATAGCAACATCGTTGCCCAATACTAGTTTCAACATTGCAGGTCACCGGTTGATTACAGATTCTATAACAAAGCTTTTACCGAACGGACTGTTCGTGAAACAAGAAGGCGGGTTAATGAAATTCGCGGTGGAAATTAAAAGAAAAAGTTCCATTGGTAAAACGTAATCTTCCGTGGCGCGCGTCCGTCGCCGTCGAGTTTTTTTACTTGGCCGTCGACGAGAGCTGGACGATGGATGGAGAAACGCCACCGAATTTATATTCGAGCGCCGTGATCGTATTCTTGCCGGCATAATGCATACAGATCGAGGCGGTAGCTTCGAAACTCCCGTCATCTTCGCCGAGGTAGATTTGAGTGGAATCCAGGGGCCGACGCTACATCGGCGGTCCGACGATGCGATAAATCTGGTGTGTAGAAAAAAGGAGAACCGAATTCGCGACGCACTCGCTTGACAATTGTTCAAACTGTAATGTTCGTCGTTTTTTTTACCGACTTCAAAAAAGGAGGAGACTTTCAATTCGACTGTATTTTTTGTAAGTTTAATCTTCGTATTATTGTTAATATTACAAAGAGCTAAAGTATATTTTGTTGGAATCTTTCATAACCAAAAAAAAATTTTGGTACTTACTGTACTTAATAATAACAAGAGGACATAATTCATATTATTACATAACAGAATATTAAGATAACACTTATTTTGAATAACATTCATAAGTGTGTTCTGTGTGAGAGTAGTGCATAAAGAAAATTAAAAATAACATAATGCTTAGAGAGGCGCGAACTTAGCGTTTACTATGCAATGACTGGTTTACAAAAATAAACAATCTGTCAGCCCGTTGGGGTGGACTAAGACGTAATAAAAGATCTTAACTGGCCTTGTCCTGTGCTGACGTGAGCCGCTCACATTCGCACAACTTCACGTATGCACAACTTCACGTATGAGGATCGGAAGTAACATTATAAACGACACCCGTATTGTTACAACATCAAAAATGTTTTGTCATTCCGCGCGTCTGTTTCGTTTCGCTTGCACCGACAATATTAAAATATCGCACGACGTTCCCACGACCGAAACGTACCCCTCACGTGACACGCTAAAAGCTACGAACTGTTGGGGCTGCTCGACGTCGCGCGATGGAATAAGCCATTTATACGACAAAATCACACGACGGTAGTGAATCAAAACTGGGTTGAACTCGTGACCCCTTAAGGTCCCATTCGTTCGACTTCCGCGAACACGTTACTGAGCCCGTGTTCCGAGCCGAGCGCCCTATCGCCGCGCCGTTCCCGTGACGGCGTCTCGTTGTCACGTTGCCCACTGTCACGTGGCACGCCCCCGAAGGCTGCACGTGGCGGCGCGCTCGTTTGCGTAAACGCCCGAAACGGCCCGTATTCGGGGAGCGTGTTGAAACAACGTGACAATGAACCGATGGCGGTGTTAAGGATATATAGGTATACTAGCGGACCGGACAGACGTTGCCCTGTATACACGTCTTAAATTCGAAAAATTCAAACCTTTTTGAATAACTTAGTGAATCTAAACCATTCTCGAATCCATCTGAACACACACAAAAAATGTCATTAAAATCGGTCCAGACGTTTAGGGGGAGCTCAGTGACATACACACGTACAAAAGAATTATATATATAAAAAGATATAAGAGCGAATGTTTCAAACGTCACGTGGTTTGTCCAATGTTAGGTACTTTAACGAGATTGTTTATAAGAGGAAACGTAACGAACGGAGGTTGGCCAACGTAAGGTCATTTCAACGTGTTTTTTTTTGTTCTTTCTGCTCGTCGCGAAGGTATCTTGGAAGACACGGAACACAATTAGGAACGGACGCAGCTATTAGGTTGGAAAAATACATGGTTTTTTCTGCCGTAATAGTTGACCGTTTCGAAAAACAAGGCGAACGCCACAATTGAAAGAGCCCGGTTGTTTTATTAATACACTGGGCTACCGGGAAAACGGCGGCCGGACACGAGCAACGAGCAATGTAGGAAAACGTGACTGAAAACACTCCGCCTTTGAGAAATAACTCATTCCGAATACACGAAAATCCCCTCAATCGGGTCAGCGGGGCCGCGCCCTTGCCCATGCCTAATATCTCCAATCTAACTACGTTCTATTCAGGAAAATACATATATATGTATAGCAATAAAACATATAAAGACCTTGTGTGAGTTCTCGAAACGGTACAAGATATTAACTTTAAAATATATAAGAGCATCGTCGTTAATCAAATTATATGTATTAAATATTATCATGTCATTTTCGTGGTAGTATAGTACCCAATGGCTCGGAATTAACAATACTTTCCTATGGGGCAATTAATATTTTTAACGTCAACAAAACTGCAACGGACGCGTTAAAATAAAAGTTTACGAAGTAAAAAAAAATACAACTCCAAATAAATTCAAGACGAGACGACGCAGTTAAGCGACGTGGATGCTTACTTTCAAAAGTGGCCCAGTTGCCGCCTAACGGGATGGCGACCATTGCGACAGATGCGCGAACGCACGCGGTACGGAACCGTTTATCTTTATCGTTTACCTTTTATCATATAGCTCCATTGCGAACATTGTAATCCCAGGGCGGCGGATTTTACAAATCTGCTTTTAATGTCCTATTTCGAAGGTTTCACTGTGACGCATCCGCTCCAGCGAATACGCGAGTAATTTCGATTTTCCAACTCGACAGGAAGCAATATCCAGGTCTCGACAATAACGTCACTCAATATTGTTTGTTGCGCAATAGAAATGAGGATTTACTGTCTGTTAAGTTCAGAAAAAATTGGAGTAATATTTTTCTTACAAAGTGTTAGCCTAAATATGTCCCAAAGCTGGCCTCCTCTGTACTGAGGGCATAGTCCATCACGCCCCCACTACGGATTGGCGGTTGTCTCATAGAGCCATATTGAAATTTCAAACAAATTGGAACTTTGAAAAAACTTGTATTGTATAAAAGATAACTGACGTTATTAAATAAAAAAATTAAGTTGATGTTTTGTTTTCTTTATTTCTAAGGCGCGAACATCGGTCATTACATACATATCTTCAAAATACTTTTTTTTAATTTGTACAAAAAATGAGCGAAAAGGCGCTGCTGCTGGAATCGAACCCACGTCTTTCGGCATTCGCGCCCAGACACATTAAGCACCAAGCTAAACGACTGCTTGCCACAACTTTTCTAGAAATTTTAATGTTTCGTCTGAAGTGCAGATATTAGCACTATAAAAATGTATATATACCTATACAGCGTGTCGTTACCATCGCGACAATAAATGAACACACGTCTAACGCTACTTGCCAATAATCATAAAAAAATATTAACGTTAAACAAAGTCCATAATAAAAAAAAAAAATTTCAAACTAACTAATTAAGTAAAAAAGAAACAAAATTTGTAACATCCTATACAACTCGCACGACAGCGTCGTATTACAAGCCTCTCCTTCTAACAGTATGTTTTGTCTCTTTTAAATTCATTCAACCCATTCATATGCTTTGTGACCTTTACAAATGAACTTTACGTTACAGTTTTATACGTAAGGGTGTCCTAAAATTGTTTGTTTTGGAAAATTTAATAACTCGGTAAACATTGATGTTTGAAGAATGTAAATGTTTAATACAATTTTAAAAAGTTATCCTCTATATGTGTGTTCATTTATTGTCGCGGTGGTAACGACACGCTGTATATTTAATGTTATACATATTTATATATCATTAATATCCTTTTTTCATTACAAAAAAATATCCTCGCGATATTTCCTTTCATCACTGAGCACTTGATAAGCATCGGTATTTGAACTCGGGTTGTTCGAATATAACGAATTAATAGCGAGCGCCTGGACACTGAGCTACCAGGGCCCAATGGTGAGCAGTTTGTGATTTTAATTGGCAAGCGGTAAGCTCATTAAAAACCCAATCACGGTTGCCTTGAGGGCACACTGTTGGCGCGTGAAAACGCCGAAAAAATATTCTCCATAACCAGCCGTGATTTTAATACGATGTGATGTGAAAATAAAGCGTAGGCGCTTAATGTATACCGAATCGCGCCGTCTCTTATCTGTGATACTTCTTTGACATGTATGAATATTCATTCGTATAATGGCCGCCTCGAAACGTCCCATCGAGTAAACTTGAACGAACGACGACTATTAATACGTTGCTGGACTGCTTGTTAAAAATTTTCCATTGCTCTAGAAATACGAGGAAAATGCCGTCTTAACAAAGATGTCTCAGTTGGCTACATGTTGTAACTTTTAGTGGACACATAAAAATGTGTGTAGAAACAAATACTCTACACTTATGTCCCACGGCTGGGCAAAACCGTCCTATGAACTGTGTGAGATTAGTGACCTTCACATATCTTCGAAATACTTCTTTTAACTAATGGCTGGAGTCGCTGCTTTCAGTTCGAGCTTCTTCTTTTTGTACATATTTCCGTCGAATGCGGTTACTTACTCGATTTACACTTAATTACACATAATTATTAATTTTGATGACTCCGTGGAGCAGTTGCCAAGGTATTGGCTTCGGCGTCGGGGGTCGTGGTTTCGATCACCACGGGACTACTATTTGTGTGACCCACAGATAGTTGTTTCATATCTGGATGTTTGTTCACGTGAATTTTATATATGTAAAACGTCTTTACATCACAGGATAATGCTATCCTAAAGTAAGGACAATTGTACAAAAAAAATACTCCAACTAAAGAACGCATTATCATGAGACATTACGTGAATGTAATTATTAATTTAAAAATGACGATATAATATACGTTATTCTTCTATAAAGATCCTTCTGCCGTTTTCATAAAGTCGTGACGTCGTTCAGTATGTTGCCAAATTTCAAGATTTTTAAGAAATCGGAAGGCGTTTATTTAATGTCAACCAATGAAACCCATAACTACGTTGATTAAGAAACTTGTTGTGCAATTAAGAACTGGAAGAGATTAATGAATAAAAAATGATGTGATGTTTTATACGCTTTAAGGACTTATAAATTATTTATATTTCATACCAATAGAGTTACTTTTAAAAGGCGTCTTGACATAATAACGTAAAAAGCAATTAATCAGCGGAAAATCGCAAATGTTGCCAATAAATACTATAAGGCATTAACAACGTCAACCACAAAACCTGTTCAATATCCTTCGTTCGTTTGGAAACAGGGTCGCCTTACCCTTTCGAAACTGTAAAAATTAAAAAAAAAGTTAACATTAACACGCAGAAACGAAACATGGATATTTACGTAACGTGCGAACGTCTGGTTACGCTTAAGGCTGTCGTTCCACCAGATTTGTGGCGAAGACCGCGCTCCAGCTACTGGACTGCGGAGTGATGGAATCCACCAATAGGACACTGAATAGAGTGTACACAGGTTTCTCATTGGTTGGTGCTTTCTTCGCACTCCGCAGAGCGGCAGTGAAAACCCAGCCTAAAGGTTACACGCACGACATGCGATAACATTCATCATTTAAATATCGTCTCGCCTAACGGCCGCCTCTGTGGCCGAATCGATTTGGCACGGGATCGAACCTAATCTGGGTAGTGGCTTACTCGCCAAGGTTGACCCGCGCGTCTACGTAGCCGTCGCGAATCGTCAGTAGTAAAGTAAAAAAAAGTCAGTAACAGCCTATATATCTCCCACTGCTGGGCGAAGACCTCCTCTATACGTACAGAGGGTATTAGGGACCCCACTGTGGATTGGCTGAATACACATATCTTCAAAATATATTTTCTTTTGTTATTATTCCGAAAATATGCAGGTCACACCCTCACGATGTTTCCAATAATACGAGCGCGTGATAAATCAGCACTTAAAATTAACAATTCCATTGGGCACCGGAATTTGAACGCAGTTCGCTCGAATATGTCGAATTAAAAGTGAGCGCCCGGGCCAATGAGCCATCACGGCTCTTTCGTAATAAGATCCAGGTAACCTTGACGGCCTACCGTTCACGTTTCCATCCGTGTCTCTTTATCCCGTATCTGCTGCGTTGTTTAATGGCCCCTGTACACATTGGGCCAACGCATTGGGCCTAAGCGTTTGTGTTCGCGGTGTTTAGCTGTTCAAACATTTGCGTACTGCTCTGTGCTCTGTGGTGCTCCTTTGATGTAGTCCAATGTATAGGCCCAATGCTGTGGCCCAATGTGTACAGGGGCCTTAAGACGAACAGAATTAAAGCCAATAATTTGTCAATTGATCGTCCTCCGTACGCACCTCTGTCTCGGCATATCGTAAACAAAACGGGCCGAATGAAATTTTCCACTCGCTGTTTCCAGATAAGAGCTAGGCGTTCGAGTTATTCGATACCGGCTTTTAGCGCGCGAGACGCTTTATCTATTCCGAAACGGATAAAAATATTGATTCCTCCTCGCTTATCTGATTACTGAAACCGATCTGGTCGCCTGGGAGCGAAAACTCGAGTAGTAGCATCAGCATATGCTTAACTAATCTCGACTGAATGTGACAAAGTGGAGTTGGCCGTTCTTCTATTTATGAAATTGAAAGAAAAATTAAATCTTAAAAAAAAACACTGTTAGAGATGCATTAGGAATACGTAAAGAATACGCAACCTAAAACTATTAATTGCCAAATAATAATAAAATCCATTACGAAGAAGCAACAACTTAGACCATTTTTATAACCAATCATCACCGCCTAAATCGAAACAGTACCTACTCGCATCTTGTTACTGTCATATAATATTTTCGCTATCCGTATTAAGGACCAGGACCAGTATAGAAAAGCTTCGACACCGACCTCATAGAACGGCTGGCCCTTCTGTAGAAGGGCCAGCCGTTCGACAAGTCGCGGGTGTGTTTACTACAAACCGAAACCTTGATAGCGTTGATAACCTATATAACGGTGGCTAATGTCAAAGCGGTAGACAAGCCCATCTTTATCTAAGGTATGGCCCACCATTGAATATGTACCTGATATAGCAGTCGCTAGTCTCAAAGCGGTAGACAAGCCCAATGTACAAGGTATGGCTCACCTTGTAGAGCGTGTTGTCCAGCTGAGCGTGTGCGCTGTACTCGCTGTGTGGGCTCAGCAGGCGACGCTTCTTGATTGGCTGCTGGGCCGGCGACACTGCCGGCTGGTGATCTGGTTGCGCGCTGATTGGCTGACTGCTGCGATGTTGCACCGGCGGCACCGGGTACATGACATGCATTCCCTGTTAAAAGTTCCCTGTGTTAGTTTTACATAAAAGAGAGGCAAAACAAGGAGAAGAATCGACAGAATGAGACAAACGATAATCCTTGGCCTGCAGACGCCGGGGCAGGTTTTAAAGTGTGAACTTTTAGTTAACTCGCAGGACTTTTAGTGTAGCAATGGTATAATAAGAGATACAAGTATGTTACTCGTTAATGTGAGGATGAGTGTATCTTACCCCACACATCATAATAAACGCAACACCTATACACATTTATTCTTTAGTATGAAGCGGCCGTTAATGCAGTCAATTCGGGCCGATAATGTATAGAGATGACACGCAGTACTATTTTTCTTTGTACGTACTTCAAAATTGTTAACATCGGATTGACCGTTTAGTCTGTTCTAGGCATACAGTAAACATATCTAATTTCATTTCGTACATTACATAAGCAAAGTAGCAAAGAGCGAACGGCGAATTAATTCAGTAAAACTTCAAACCACCCTATTTCGCTCGTGCTTTGGAACTGGTTATTTGTTAAGCGTGACTTTTAGAGATGTCGTTCCGTTCAATTCTAGGTAAAGTCGATGCTTCTAGCATCATTTTCGGCTTTAAGGCTTTAGCCTATCCGACGGTTAGTTCGCAAAGGCTACTTGCTACATACCAAACTCAAAAAAGGCCATACTACAATCTCCGCTTCAATGACAAGTTGTTAGTGATTAAAATATATCAATAATGAAAAACTGAACAAGTTCGTTAAAAATATTTAATCCAATAAAAAAGAAGTAATGAAATTCGATTACTTTTAGAGAAATTGTCGAACATAATAATACTTATGTATAGATACGAGCATAATAAATATTTAGGAAATTTGGCACACCCGTTTAGAAACCCGCATAGACTATAACATACACGATTATATCGCAATTCCAACAACATAACATATTGTCCAATAATATACAAAGAAGCTCTACACTAAATTTGTCCGGAGTGGACTACTACTCGTTATAAGCGCGGCACCGTTCCAATACCCTGATAACAATGGTTATAATTCAATTAACAAAGTGGGGGACAAAAGGACAAGCCGGCCGGCGCTAGATTTACACAGATTAAATGTAGAGACAGTGTGGAAAGAAAGGGAGTGGGGGGGGGGGCGTGACAACGTTAATATTTTCGCAGTAATCCCGCAGAGTGCGCGTCGAAATCGAGTTTTCATTTGCTAGGGGAGGCCATTACCGCCGTGTCCTCGGCACCACGCGAACGAGCGAGCCTCGTAAATAACGCACGACACGGATGATGGAGATGGAGAAATGAAGACGCCTCATTAACCTAATTGTGTTGGGGCGCGCGGCGCGCGGCCACGCCCGGTGGAACGGGGGTAGGCAGGTGTACTCATTTCTTTGTGCCATTCGGCGGGGGTTCGGTTCTCCGTTTAATTACTAGTCTAGTTTGGCTCCTTGAATTGGTACACGCCGTGGGACTTGGATGAAAGATAAATTAATTAATTCTTAGTAGGTCTCAAACGATCCTCACCGAAATATTAAGAAAACGCTTTACTAATTGAAGCGTTAAACATTAAAGACGTTAAGAGATTTTTTATTTTTATATAACTATTAATTTTATCATTGAACTCAAACTTATAATATGCCGTATTTAAACTTAAAAAGCTTATTTAAACTTAACAGGATGAAAAAAAATGTTAGCAACAAATGACTACACATTTTTGCCCGGATTAAACCTGAGCTATCTCTGCCAGAAACGTATTATCGACAGAATAAAACTAGTGAAATAGTAATAGCTTCTCTCGAAATCGAGCTAACCTTTCTATTGTATTTAGAAAAACATCGTATTAAACAAAAGAGCCTAGCGACCAATCGCTCGAACTCTTTAAGCGTTCAGATCTTCAAAGTACTCTGGCGAAAAATCTCTCATATCTATTGTTATTAGGGATGTCGGCTAGGATAAGTGAAGACGATATTTCACGCGTCGTAAACACGGTGATGACATTGCGACGGGCGATTGAAGCGACCAGCATGAAGGGCATGAGATACCGCCTCCGTTCACCGTGAGACTTGTAATTTTTCGGACCGATGGCCCCTAAAACGAGAAGGGCATCGAATCGGTTGAACTGATAGAAACGTTTCCACGCCATTCGATATAAATAAACTGACGAAACGTTACGAAAATATCCTTTTAAAAGGAAAACAGTAAACATGGCGATTATATTTTTCGCATGACGATATTATAGTTTTAACTTTTAACTGGAATTAAAATCGTTTACTCCCCAAACGGAGTCCCAAATGAGTCTTCTTTCCAAATGAAATTTAATACTGTTAGAGCGCTGACTGAGGCTTTGAGTGAAGACGTCAATCACGTTTGATAACACGTAAACATTTCCATCCTAAAAACTAGGTACGTTATATCCATCAAATAGGCAATCTGTTAGACGATCACTGAGCAGATTTACTCGACACTAGCTTCCAGAGAGGTAAACATTTGCTCCTAAGTCCAAAAATACTTCACTTCAGCAGCAAGATTATCATAAAAAATATCGTCGCGCGCCCGACGATGTTTTATTGCGTTGTAGAAAAATAAATTGTTAAAAAATAGTAAATATATTCGTAAAAAATCGTTAAAAATAGTTTTTATTTTAAATAGTCGACCCGATTGGCCCAGTGGATAGTGAACCTGGCTCTTGCGCCGGAAGGTGTGGGTTCGATACCCACTACGGGAAGGATGTTTTTTCCGAGTATTTATTTACGAAAGAAAAGTATGTTGAAGTATATTTATCAGTTTTCCAGTACTCACACGTAGTACAAGCATTGCTTAGTTTGGGAGTAGAGAACGGTGTGTATAAATGTGTACTGAAATATTTATATATACCTATATTAATTACTGACAGCAATCGGATTGTTTTCTGTTGCGTAATACCAACAACAAGCTAACATATTAATCCATATAGAAGTGGGGCTCAATACATTTCGCAACTTCGGAGGTGGAGCGATGAAATTTAAGGCTTCTCCACGGAATCCGCCTATACATATATGAGACCTGACGAACATATATCATACTTTAAAAGTCAATAATAATGCCGTACAATCACTTATGTTTAGCTGTAATGAAGTAGTAGACTAAACTGTTATAGACCAGAAAAACGAAAACCATAGATGCCTCACAATCGGTTTAGTTATTGAATAAATAAAAACATAATAAACATTAAAGCCAAACACTATAAAGATGAACTTAAGCATAAGTAATGTTACTTACACAACTCTTTTGAAAACGCACTATACACACCGATATTTTGATTTCGGGAAACTAATGGCCACATCACGGAATCATACATTAGCCCGTGACACCGTCACGCTATTTAGTGTCCCGAAACCTTTCACAATAAAATATTCAATGAAATATTTCACTTCTATAAATTATATATCTAGGTAGTTATAATACGTCGATAAATGGGTCAAGCCGATTTCAAAAGCGTGTAGACTCTATTAACACAGGGCGCGTCCTTCCCACCGATACCCCGGACTGGATTACAGGCGACAGCGCCCGGTGTCCGATGTTAGTGCGAGGAAACTCGAGAGCCGCCGAACATTCTAGGCTTACAATGTAACCGGACGCGGCGCAGTCACCTACCCACGGCGTGTGACCACCTACCTACCCGGCGGCCAGCGGATTCCCGATCCGCTTATAAGAGCGCGGCCCACGCTCAGACCGTTGCGAGGTTTCAGCGCTTAACTATACCGTATATAAGCAGGAGTTATGACGACTGTACACCGTGGTAGGTACATAATTTACCTCGGGACATCCATAATTCTAAAGAATATTCAGATTCACGGTTGACTTATCGCCATATGCGTTCAAGTACATACTTATATAAGGCGTAACATTCAGACAGATATACATAAAATATGTATATAAATTATAGCCTATGTTTTATTCTGATGTATAAGCTATATAATTGTAAAGTCTCATTAAAATCTATTCATAAGTATTTGCGTGAATGACTAACAAACATCCATCCATACATATATACAAACTTTCGCGTTTATATTAGTAAGGATATAAGGATTGATAAGTATCAGAATTCAATACTATTATTACATTTAGTATGACACAGACGTTGAGTTCATAATAAACAAAATTTTAAACTGTGGTTGGTATATTCCTTAAGACCAACGTCTCAAATTTGCACTCCATCATGAAGACAAATTCGTTTCCTAGATATTTCGAGCGCCAAAACAACCAAAATTGGTTTAGACCGATGAATTAGCCTCTATATAAATTTTTTTTTTTCTTTTTTTTTTATAAACATTGCCCTTACCTTAGGATAATATTATCCTGTGTTGTAAGGACGTTTTACAAACATAAATTTCACGCGGACAAACACCCAGATGCGAAACAACTATCAGTGGGTCACACAAATAGTTGTCCCGTGTGGGAATCGAACCCACGACCCCCGACGCCGAAGCCAATACCTTGGCAACTGCGCCACGGAGTCATCAGATCTCAATATAGATCAGATCTCTATATCAATATAATAAATCTCGTGATATATCGCATGCCGCAATGGGTGTTATCAACCAGATACATATTTTCGATCAGTTCAAATGATATCTTCACGTCATAAATATCGAAGAACGAGTGTGGGGATCGGCAGGCAGTTTAACTATGACATATCGCCGGTTTGTCCAAAAAAGGTTTAATTTTTTTGGGACATGACATATTCATTTATGCTCCGGGGCAGGATAATGTTATTTTATAACCCATATTGAAAAGCATTCTTTATAAACACACAGAGAACCGAACCCTTTTTCAAAATTGTATGATTGAATGTATGAATATATACAGCGTGTCGTTACCATCGCGACAATAAATGAACCCACATATAGGGGATAACTTTTTGAAGTTGTATTAAACATTTTAATTCTTTAAACATCAATATTTACAGAGTTATTAAATTTTCCAAAACAAAGAATTTTAGAACACCCTTACCTATAAAAGCGTAACGTAAAGTTCATTTGTAAAGGTCACAAAGCATATGAATGGGTTGAATGAATTTAAAAGAGACAAAACATACTATTAGGAGAGGCTTGTAATACGACGCTGTGGCGCGAGTTGTATAGGATGTTACAAATTTTGTTTCTTTTTTACTTAATTAGTTATGGATTTTGTTTAACGTTAATATTTCTTTATGATTATTGTCAAGTAACGTTAGACGTGTGTTCATTTATTGTCGCGATGGTAACGACACGCTGTATATATAATATAGGTATATACCTATATATAACATATATTTAGTATTATTTTAAGCCTTTAACCATGTCACTCTTTCGACAAGAATTAAGAAGACGTTATAAAGATATTTAAAATAATAACGGTAAATTTATTTAATATTTCAAAATATGTATTTCACATATCTTTGTATATACTATAATTAGGTGACTAGGTGGCACAATTTTGCAAAGCTATTTGCTTCGGCGCCGGAAGCCGAGGTCTCGATTGCCACACCACTAAATATTTACTGCAGACGACCAATCGTAAAAAACCTTGTCAATACCATTAAAGAACCACGTGATTCATGTCCTCACCTGATGGGATAAGATTGATATATCCTTACTAATATTATAAACGCGAAAGTGTGTACGTATGGTTGGAGGTTAGGTTGGTATGTTACTCTTTCACGCAAATGCTACTGAATGGATTTTAATAAAACTTTACAATAATATAGCTTTATACATCAGAATAAAACATAAGACTATAATTTATATAGGTACATATTTTTAAGTATATCTGTCTTTACAAATAGTCCCGCTGAGTTTTTTTCGTCGGTTCTTCTCAGGTCAGTGGCTTTTCTTTCCGAACCGATGTGGTAACGTTTTGACAATCAATAAGTAGGTAAGTGTAATGCTTTTATAATGAATAAAGGTTTTGATTTTATTTTCTGTGTAAATGTTACGCCTTCAGCCTATTCTACGCATACGTAGTCGCGGGCAACAGCTAGTATACAATATTGTTGTAACCTCTCAAAATAGTCTACCGTTAAAACCGAAGCTGTAGATAATAAATTTAATCGATAAGAGTGATGTTTTTAACACAGACGACAAAAAGTCTATAGTAAATTTAGGTAGTTTTCTAAGCTTCTAAGAATTTATATTTTGGTCTTTTAACTGTATGACCAGTTTAATGAAGTTTAATATCTATATGGCTTAAACGAGTTAGATTCTAAGAACGCTTTGCGGTTGCACACGTCTATGAGAATTCAATTTACGAATTGTCCGGTCGTTAGGTGATGACGTCATAGGCTAATTATCCGTTTCCGCGGTGATGGCCAAAGCTACTAGTACATTGTTTGTCTTCCCAAACATTTAAAAAGACACGCTCGATTGGCAGCCGGCCAGTG